GGAATGGAGGTGACAGGTGAATGATAGCTCCGCCCTGTGGCTGTCAATAAGCGTGTGAATGGATGTACTTCATCATTAGCGGTCACCTTTGCCCTTATGGAGGAACCTGTATTATAATAAAGAGAACCTGTCACAGTGTGAAAAAACAAATGTATTGCATTTGCTTTAGTCACCATGTGTGGCGTTTCGTCGTGACAACGCTCAACATGAACTGTCCTTTTATTTTCAACGGTGCCCGTTGGTACCTGAGAGAAAGCTGCTACTAGTTACGGGTTCAAAAAGGAGTACGGGGGCTTCTTTTCACGTGATTTACGTCCGTAGACTTCAATAGCTGCCCCTGAAAAAGATGCAATTTGCACCTTGACGTGTGTGTGTAAATGTGCGCATTCACATGTTTATGAAATGTGGGGAAAGCATGTGGTGCACTTATGGCGCCGTTACTTGTTAAAGGATAATTAAAGCCTCACGTGTTTTTGCATATATCTACTAATAGCAAACAGTAGATATATGCAAAAAGTGTAAAAAAAACCCCAACAAAACGCTTTGAAAAGGGTTAATACTTACCCGTGCGCTCACGTCCGAAAATGTGAAAAATCGCGGGCGGCCGCAAAGCATCTTGGAGCGGGCGCATGCGCAGATCACATTTTTGGCCGAGACGCAAGGTAAGTCTATGGACGCCTGCACCCGCATGCAGACACCAGTGGGACAGGAAGTGCCAGCAAGCTCAGAGGAGTCAGCGCTGGATCGGAGACCCGCAGCAGCGCTGGAGGGACAGATGGAAAGGAGATCGGATTAAGAGACATCATTTAAGGTAAGTGCTTTCATTAACATTAGGGGGAGGGAAAAATATTTTTGACTTTAATGGCACCCTAAACGCACGGTCCAAAAAAAAAAGCTGCATGAGCTTATGTGCTGTGCATGGGGCAGACCATTGAAATAAAGGGCTAACACATGCCAAACGCACATCCGTGCGGCACACGTTCACGTGACGCGAATGAGCCTGAATGGGGTTCATTGTGTGAATGAATGTGCATCAATATCAGAGGTCACCCCTGTGCTATAAAACATTTTGAGGGGAATTTATCAAAACTGGAGCAGCTTCTAGCTTTCATTTTCGAATAGGGCTGCAGCTAACCATGATTTTTCTAATCGATTAGTTGGCCGATTATTGACATCGATTAATCGGATAAACAAAAAAAATAGTGTAATTTTTTTTTTTTTAAATAAAATACACAAATGCAGCGTGACAGACATAAAGTTTACTTCAGAATAAAACGGTGTGCACATTTTTGTTAAAATCGTAGGAAGGGGGGGCAGCGGGGGAATGCAGTCACAGCGATCTCACCTCCCCGCTGGTGCCAGCTGCAGTGGTCTGTGTTCCCTCTGCCGATTACAGGCGGGGAGAGCAGTGGGGATTGAAAGGGATACAGACCGCTGCAGCCGGGACCAGCGGAGGAGCAGAGCGGCGGCAACTAATCGATGATGAGAATTGTTGCCAACAATTCTCATTATCGATTATAACCTATTAGTTGTTGCAGCAATGCTTTCAAAGCCTAACTGAAGAGAGAAGCTGATTGGTTGCTATGGGCAACAGCTCCAGTTTTGATAAATTCCCCCCTCAATGAACACTAATAAAGAGACCCTGTCATGCACACGGCTGTAAACAAACTTGGGTAGCATTCAGATCCGTAAAATCAAAATATAAAAATATGCGTCTGAATTTGTTTTGTTTTTTTTACTGACTTCCAAACTAGGTGTTATTTACTACTGACCTCCAAACACTTACATACTACTGGCCTCTGCACTCTACCTTCCCCCGGACTGCTTCACTCTGTTACTCCTGACCCATGCATTGTTAATTACATACTACTGACCTGTAAACTCTGTGTTACTACTGACCTCTGAACTTTGTGTTATATACTACTGACCTCTGCACTTTGTATGACTTACTACTGACTTCTGACCTCTGCGTTACATACCAACGACCCCTAAACTCTGCATTACATACTGTTGACCTCTTCCATTTGCATTACATACTTCTGACCTCTGATCTCTGCATTACTTCTGAACTCTGAGTCATATACTACTGACCCCTAAACTCAATTTACGTACTACTGATCTGCTAAACTCTGTTACTTAGTATTGACTTATAAACTCCTGACCTCAACTCTCCATTAAATACTACTGACCTCTGAAATCAGTGTTACTCCCGACCTGTGAACTCTGCGTTACTTACTAGTGACCTATAAACGCCACATTATTTGCCTACTGACCCCTGCATGCTGTGTTATTCCTGACCTTTGAGTTACAAACTAGCGACCTTGGAACCCTGTGTTACTACTGAACTCTGCACTACGTACTTCTGAACTCTGTTACTTACTACGGACCTATGAATGCTGCATTACATACTGCTGACCTCTGAACTCTGTTACTTACGACTGACCTATGAATGCTGCATTACATACTGCTGACCTCTGAACCCTGTTAATTACTACTGACCTATGAATTCTGCATTACATACTGCTGACCTATGAACGCTGCATTACATACTGCTGACCTCTGAACTCTGTTAATTACTACTGACCTATGAATGCTGCATTACATACTGCTGAACTCTGAACTCTGTTACTTACAACTGACCTATGAACGTTGCTTTACATACTGCTGACCTCTGAACTCTGTTACTTACAACTGACCTATGAACGTTGCTTTACATACTGCTGAATTCTGTGTTGCTAACCACTGACCTATAAACTCTACATTGCTTGCTACTGATCCCTGCATGCTGTGTTACTCCAGACCTCTAAGTTATATACTTCTGAACCCTGCATTGCATACTACTGACCTTTGAACTCATTGTTACATAGTCAGGTTGAAAAAAGACAAGTCCATCGAGTTCAATCTATAGAGATGAGAAAAACAAAAAACTGTTACTTTTGACCTATGAACTCTGCATCAGATACTACTGACCTTTGAACTCAGTGTTATTTACTCCTGACTAGGAATGGACTTGATGTTCCAGTTCAACATGAGGTTTTTTTAATTATTATTTTTTCTTGTTTTATTTCGTTGAGTCGTCATCGTGAATGACGCTGGATTACGTCGGTGGATCCATTTTTGGGGTTTTTGTTTTTTAAATAAAGTGGTTTTTCAAAAGTCTGGCTTCTTTTTTACAATTTGATGTAACCCTTTTACTCATTCACAAGGGGGGGAGGGCCGCATCTGTGTGCCCCCATATCAGATCAAGGGTCTGGAATTTTAGGGGGGGACCCCACGTTCCCCCCCCCCCATTTTGATTGTGGGGTTCCTCCTTAAAATTCCTACCAGACCTTAAGGGTCTGGTACTGTTTGGGAGGGGGAACCGCACGCTTTATATTCAAAAAAAGTGTTTTGTTTTTTTTCTTTAATGTAATTTTTGCTGCAGCAGGTTCTATACATCGTACAGTTGTGGCACTTTAAGGGGACCCCCCAGATATTTAAATACATTTTTCATTTTTATTGTTACCCTTTAAGTGATGTTAAGTACCCGAATCCCCATACATGTCCCCCAGCGCAGAACTCTGCGTTACTTACTACTCACCTCTAAACTCTGCGTTACTACTCACCCCTAACCTCTGCGTTACTTACTACTCACCTCTAAACTCTGCGTTACTACTCACCCCTAACCTCTGCGTTACTTACTACTCACCTCTAAACTCTGCGTTACTACTCACCCCTAACCTCTGCGTTACTTACTACTCACCTCTAAACTCTGCGTTACTACTCACCCCTAACCTCTGCGTTACTTACTACTCACCTCTAAACTCTGCGTTACTACTCACCCCTAACCTCTGCGTTACTTACTACTCACCTCTAAACTCTGCGTTACTACTCACCCCTAACCTCTGCGTTACTTACTACTCACCTCTAAACTCTGCGTTACTACTCACCCCTAACCTCTGCGTTACTTACTACTCACCTCTAAACTCTGCGTTACTACTCACCCCTAACCTCTGCGTTACTTACTACTCACCTCTAAACTCTGCGTTACTACTCACCCCTAACCTCTGCGTTACTTACTACTCACCTCTAAACTCTGCGTTACTACTCACCCCTAACCTCTGCGTTACTTACTACTCACCTCTAAACTCTGCGTTACTACTCACCCCTAACCTCTGCGTTACTTACTACTCACCTCTAAACTCTGCGTTACTACTCACCCCTAACCTCTGCGTTACTTACTACTCACCTCTAAACTCTGCGTTA